TTCTGCTGCACCTGCTGGGTCCGGTTCACACCGATGTCGAGCGGTTGAACAGCGAGCACAGCGTTAATTTGTTTCCCCATGTTTTTCACATCAGCTGTGAGATGGGCACGCATGGAGTTACATATTAACAGCGATGGTGATGAGTGGAAAAAAAAAACACCTGGTCTCCTTACATTCAGCCACTCTTTCATCATCTCCTCAATGAGGTGGTCTCAAAAGTCGCAGTTACAACACACATAAGGCGCACCGCACCAAAGGGCACACCGCACATTTTGAGGGGAAAAAAAGACGTTTAAGTGCGCCTTATAGTCGTGAAAATATGGTAAATTGAAAGTGTAAAGACAATATAAAGTTTAAATGCTTGATAATAAAAGTTAAACATGACTAAGAACCCTTTGGGAGCCTTCAGATTATCATTGCTATAGCCGCACTTCTTTATATTTTTGTTAATGTTTGCATAATTGCAATTTTTTTAACTCGACAGGAGCTTTTAAAGATGTTTTAGGGCAGCATGTTTGCTTTGAATTAATACATTTAGATAATATATGCGTTTATTATTTGTACATTATTACAACAATGTAATCCTTAATCATATCCTTTAAGAGGCACAGCTTTCTTCCTTCTACAGTAGCCTGACATCAGAGATCCTTTCTGTCTACTTGCTCATCCTCTGCTTCCCCTCTTAATCCATATAAAGGCGTTTTTGGGCTCTGTGTGTACTTCCGATCAAACCCTTTCAACTTCCATCAACAAAAGATTCTGATCTGATACCCCATGTGGGGCTTAATGTGTCACTTTGCTCATACACCCTGACAAACAGCCATTCACACCTGCTGCAGCAGGGCTGGTGTCTGCCAGCGGCCGGTCAGATGGCTCTCTGCCCAGTAATGACTGGCACAAGCCTCAACATGTGCGCATGGCGCGACAGAGGGGCTATGCATGTGTTTACGCATAGATGTGCGTGTTCCCGCCTCCTCCTGGCAGAGGATCATGCCCTACATGCCAGGAATGAGTAAAGTCGCTGGAGCTGCTGAGTTGGAATACTCGGCATTGCTCAAACATCTGAGCGTGTGCATAAGACATGTTACCAGCAGGGCTGCAGTGATTATGAGAGGTGATGTGGCTGCATGTGTGTGCGTATATATTTACATGGATAGATATATAGCAGAGTTCAGATCAAGGGTTTACAAATTAATATGACTTGCCCTCAGTGTAAGATGATTTTGCTCTCACCATTGCTTAAATGCAGAAAGCAGAGTTACGGAGCAACTGGATGGTAAGAAGATGATATTCTTTATCCTGTTTAGCTCATTAACCAAATAATCATAGTAAATTCTATTAAGAAACACTTCTCATGCATTGGTTGTTGGTTAGGTTTTCTCATGTTTACTGGGTAGTTATCATTTACTGTTTCTACCAGTGGTGTCAAAAGTACACACATATGTTACTTAAGTAGACGTATAGATACTGCAGTTTAAAAACACTCTGGTAAAAGTCGAAGTATTAACTTAGACTCTTTGCTTAAGTAAAAGTGAAAAAGTATGTGCTCCAAAAACTACTTAAAGTATAAAAGTGTAAAGTAACCTTTAAAAAAAAAAAAAAAGCCAGATGCCGCTATATGAATTAAAAGCTCAATTTCTCGACTGTTTCGAAAAATTCTTTGAGATAGGGCCAAGGATGAGGGAAGTCTCGTTTTTCTCCATCTCCATCTCCCGATACGCTCTCGCCTGTGTCTGACCTTTCAGACATTTCGACATCTTTTTCTAAATCCATTGTAGCATGGCATAGATAATTCACGTTTGCAGTTTGAAGAACACCTGCTTGCTTTAGATGATTTCCTTTAGCTAACCAATGAGTGTTTGCGTTCTATAACTCATCCAATTACACTAGTTTTTACTAGATGTGGATGGCGCCAATTGTTTATAAACAATAAACTGAAGCCCAGAGTAACGAGTAACATTTGTTTTAAAAATGTAAGGAATAGAAAGTACAGATACTTGTGTGAAAATGTAATGAGTAGAAGTCAGAAGTAGTAAGAAAAATAAGTAATGGAGTAAAGTATAGATACCTAAAAAGTGTACTTAAGTACAGTAACAAAGGATTTGTACTTTGTTACTTGACATCTCTGGTTCCTAGCTAGTTTTGGGCCTGCTGTGGGGAGTCGGGATGCTTTTAATGACTATCTGGACCTTGTATACATAAAATTAGAACATTGTTCACAGGTTTTTATTGCAATGTGACATCTCCTCCATGGCTAAACTGGTCTCAAAATGTCATTGTGAGAGGAAGATGGGTCGTTTGGAAGCTTCAAGATATCACCTTTTCTTTTGGAATTTTTTTGTGGCTCTGCTAGATTTAATGCATTATTCTCAGTATGTCCTGGAGTATTTCACAGCCATGTGAACGGTGGCAGGGAGGAGAGTCTGTTCCTGTTGTTCTGATTCAGATGTTCTCAACTGACCAAATAAAAGAAAATAAGTTTTCTCTTCCTTGGGGGCAGAAGATCAAGTATTTTGATCTGTCTTGTTCACAGTATGTGGTATGATAGACCAAGAGATGGACAGACTGATTGGGTCCTGATCTACAACAATTTGTATGCTTCCTGTTTTTTGTGGTATACAAAGAATTCAGCAAAAATGTTAACCTCTTACACCCTAAGGAGGTATAAATAAATTTCTGCCTGACAAAAACACACAAAAGTAAATAACTTATAGCCTCAAAGCTATTAGATTTAAGAAGAAACTTTTGGTACGTCTGTAAAGGTAAGATGTCATAGAATGGTTTTCTGGTGTCAGCACCATTGTAGCTTTGACCCTGCCTGAAATATTACGGACAAAATACAAAATATTTTGCATTTTTTGAACCTCGCCAAAATTTTCTTTGAAATAAACATTGCAAAACACTACCAAAATATTATTTATAGCACAAAAAAGTAGTACAGACTTTCAAATCTAAATGTTGTGTAAAAATATACCAAATTTGGACTCAATCAGATGAATCATATTTATTTTAGAATGGTATTAGTGAGAAATTTCTTAGGCGGAGAGGCCATTTTGGCACATTTATCCATAAATGACACCAAGCTGTGCCAAATATGTTTTTTACATCAATACTGGGGGTTTGGTAAAATTACGAGGTCACGTAGCAGCTGGACCCGCCGGTGGGTCCGTAGGGTTCAAGGGGTTAAGAAAAAATTTAGTTGCTTCTCGACTCAAAGATGTTCCGATTGTTTTGGAATCTGTTCAAGATTGGTATAGTTTATCTTCTGGGTTTTTACCCTGGACACCAGGACTGACAAAAGTAGAGTGGAAAGCTACACTAATGTTGCAGAGATCTTTGTCATAGTTCTTACCTCTTGTGATGTTTCCAGTACTGAACAGATTTGTGGCTGATTTCTCTTTAGGTACTACATTCAAAAGTAGTAAAAAATACTTTTCAACTTTTCCCACTGTATATAGTCATTGATTATCTGTACCGCAACCAGAGGCAACATCACATCATTTGTCTAATGATATTTAGTGGCAGTCCAGTAAATGTTTAGAGGATTTAGAGGAGATTCAACTGCAAACATCAGTATCTGTATACTCCTTTGAGAATACGGGTCCTGGTATTACCTATTAATATTTCATAGGGCTTCCCAACATTTCCAAATCCATCAGGTCCTCTGACAGGTTGAAATATCTAAATAATATATCATAGGAACCTAATATTTCCAGTCTTCCTGGTATCTGCTAAAGGTGGTTACGTATCCTTTGGGTCCACTGATTGGTTCCCTTTGGAAAAAAAAATATTTTTCATGGCCAAATAAAGTTCTGATCTATCTGACAAAGAAAGAAAAAAAGTATGAAATGGTGAAGAAACAGAGGAGCTCTGGCAAAAATAGATCTGTTTTGCAGTCAGTCTGACTGTCAAGACAACTGACAACTTCCGGAAAAAAAGTGTTTTCAGTATTAATCCTTGTAGAACTTTGGTATGATGTGTTTATTCATCAGAAATGACCCAAACACCGTTCAGATAGTGTCCAAATTCAAGTCATCGACCAATTTCTTCTTTATCTCTGATTTCTGTGATGGCCTCAGCATGCTTAATCTGGATCACCTATTTTCATTCTGTAATATTTCTCATTAACATCCCATTCAGTGTTTAACATAATCGTACCATGCTTAGCTTTGTTTCTCAATGTGCTCCCTGTACATTTACATTCAGGACACAAACTCTGTTAAATCTTCTTGCTGTGTATATTTCGATCAAATAGTCCAATCAAATAGAAAAATAGAGAAAAACACCGACTGTTGACCTACAACAAAGATGATCCAGCTCACAAAGCCTCATTGATATTAGTTTATGGAAAACAGATGTTATTTGGCTCTAGATTTTCTTGCAGAGAGGGATATGACATTGGGGGAATGAAAACGGTAATTACTACTTTGAAACAGGTCATGTTTTGATGGCGTTGTTTTATTATGAAGGGAAATTAGCATAGCTGAGCAGGCCAGCGGGCTGAATGGCTTAATTAGGGAGCGGAGAGTAGATCGTTCAGAGAGGAATAGAGCACATGTTCACGTGTGTGTGTGTGCGGGTATGTGGGGGCTGATCTACCGATCAGAGCTCTTGATGTATTTTTTTACGATAGATGAAAGCCAGGCCTAAGTCTATGTTACCCATGGGACTCTTCCAGCTGACTCTCTATGGCTTCTCAACAGAACGCCACAGTGCAAAGTGCTCATATTGTTGCTTTACTGACTGCATCATTAGAGAAGGTTACACTATGAAGAGCTCCAGCTAATCAATGAAGTTCATCCCACTTGTGTTAAATGAAACATGGGATTATTTATATGCAGAGCTCTCTGCCACTTTTGCATGTGCGTAGCTGTTGATTAGCTTAACCAGAGAGTAACATTGTGCTAATTGTTTTTATCAACATGTTCTTCTGTGCAGTAGAGATCATTTGTTGCCTTCCGTTGCTCTGCAGCTAATCCAGCATCTGTGTGTTTTCTCAGTTCCAGGGAGCACGTGACCCCGGAGATGAACAAGCTTCGCCAGAGTCTGGGGAGGAAGAAGCCCACCTATGTGCCAGAGGCTAGTAGACCGCATCAGTGGCAGGCTGACGAGGAGGCTGTACGCAAGGGCAAATGTAACTTCGCTGTTCGGGTAGGTTCACAGTGATGCAGCAGCTTCTTACTTATAATAATAGTAATACAACAAATATATATATTAAGAAGAACAGTTTGCATTATTTTTGAACATTTTGCATGATTTTTCTCTGTATTTTGGCCTTAACTTAAATGAGAAACAGGGTTTTCAAAGTGTTAGTTTGGTTAAAACGTGGACAGATCCAGCCCTGGTTTATCCTGTTTACATTAGAATTGACATAATCTCCGACATACACTACCGTTCATAAGTTTGGGGTCACATTGAAATGTCCTTATTTTTGAAGGAAAAGCACTGTACTTTTCAATGAAGATAACTTTAAACTAGTCTTAGGTTTAAAGAAATACACTCTATACATTGCTAATTTGGTAAATGACTATTCTAGCTGCAAATGTCTGTTTTTTGGTGAAATATCTACATAGGTGTATAGAGGCCCATTTCCAGTAACTATCACTCCAGTGTTCTAATGGTACAATGCGTTTGCTCATTGGCTCAGAAGGCTAATTGATGATTAGAAAACCCTTGCGCAATCATGTTCACACATCTGAAAACAGTTTAGCTCGTTACAGAAGCTACAAAACTGACCTTACTTTGAGCAGATTGAGTTTCTGGAGCATCACATTTGTGAGGTCAATTAATGCTCAAAATGGCCAGAAAAAGAGAACTTTCATCTGAAACTCAACAGTCTATTCTTCTTCTTAGAAATGAAGGCTATTCCATGTAAGAAATTGCTAAGAACTTAAAGATTTCCTACAACGGTGTGCACTACTCCCTTAAGAGGACAACACAAACAGGCTCTAACCAGAGTAGAAAAAGAAGTGGGAGGCCGCGTTGCATTTAGAGTAGAAGCTGGTATTCTATCGGTAATGGAGTGGCCAGCGCAGTCACCAGATCTGAACCCCATTGAGCTGTTGTGGGAGCAGCTTGACTGTATGATACGCAAGAAGTGCCCATCCAACCAATCCAACTTGTGGGAGTTGCTTCTGGAAGCGTGGGGTGCAATTTCTCCAGATTACCTCAACAAATGAACAGCTAGAATGCCAAAGGTCTGCAATGCTGTAATTGCTGCAAATGGAGGATTCTTTGACCAAAGCAAATAAAAATCTTATTTCAAATACAAATCATTATTTCTAACCTTGTCAATGTCTTGATTCTATTTTCTACTTCTATGGTGGTGAATAAGTGTGACTTTTCAAGAAAACACAAAATTGTTTGGGTGACCCCAAACTTTTGAACGGTAGCGTAACAGTGTTCCAGTTTTCCACTTGTGAATGCTCACACTCTTAACTATTCATATAAAGGTCACTAGGGCAAATCTTATTACAATATCATTAGCTATGTTTAAATGCACATAATTTCCTCGATCCGAACTAAACCTTCCTTGATCAGAAATTCTAAATCTTTAACTACGTGGACATTAAACACAATAATCCAATCATGAGGCGTGTATACATGTGGCAAGTGTTCGATCATTTATATCATTTGAGCATGCGCAGAATTGTGTCATTTTGTGCAAACACTTTAGGTAATAGAAGATGAAACTGCCTGCTTTGTAAACAAACCTATACTTGTCACTCATCCTCAACTTTAGTTACTCTGTGCCTGCCCTACACATGTAGATTTTTTCCTTAAACATTTATCGCATCGCCTTGCTGGTAATTTTAGTTACAATAAGGGCTCCACAGTAGCTTATGCTAACACTCTTTTGCTACAGGGGTAGTGCTGAAGTTGCACACATGTGCACTGGAAATTATATTACTGCACAAATCACCAATATCCACCTTTCTCTCACTTTCAGAATGAGATTTCTTTCCGATCGGACACAATCGGATTATAATCTTTGTTCTGACATACCAAGATAAAACCTTTTTGATCAAATCAGACCTTCAATCTGAATATTTGAATCCTATGTAAAAGTAGCTAATATTAGAAACAGTTCGACCCTGAACTTTTAGCATATTAACAACATGGAAACTTCTTAAAAGTTATATGAGAATGATTGACTAAAATGTTACACACATAATACAGAATTGCTTCTGACAGTCAAACCAGAAGAGTGCAATTACTGATGATTAGAGTAGCATCCATCCTGAAAGCAGACGTTGCAGTAAATGTTCAATGCCTCCACTTTCCAACTAATTTAACTAATGATTTCCTGCTTAGAGATCTGTAATTTCTACTTCTAAGTTCAAATGAATCAGGCCATATTTTTTAACCCGGAGATGGTTGGGTTATTGGGTCTGACATAGTATGCTGAGTTGCTGTTTAAACCCAACCCAGGATACATTTTCAGGGCGATGCACTGCAAAAACGATCTGGAAACGAGTAAAAATGTCTTAAAATTAGTGTATTTAGCATAATTCAAGCAAGTAAATAATAGTAAATAATAATGCCAAGTAAATAATAATGCCAATGGAATGAGTATTTTTACTCTTAAAATAAGATAATTAGATAATATCCACTTGGAATAAGATAACACAATTGTTTTTTCTTATTTTAGATGTAAATTGCCTTATTCCATTGGCAAAGTGTATCACTTAACTGCTTAATTCAAGAAAGAAATGCTCTTTTTTAAAGAAAAATAAACTTACTTAGATTTCTATTTTTTGCAGTGTGTGTGAAGAATAATGAGCCCCTTTGTGTTTTTGATTGTTGGATTAAACCTGACCAATTTGCATGGCTTAAAGCAATAACTTCTAAACATTTAGATAGCTTAAGAGAAAATGAAAGTTACCTGTGATAAGGTCCAGATGCTTAAGAAATGAGGGCCGCACTAGATGTCCAACTATTTATCCCTTAAACAAAAATATAATGTAATGTATTCACTTTACAGCTATATATTTTCATAAAATTATAGCTGTGTATGTAATTTTCTCCCCTATATGACTCAACATACAGGTGTCACATTGTCACAGTCTGTACGGAGTTGACGTGTTATCCTTGTGTTGCATTGTGTTAGACTAGCGACACGTTCAAGATGTAAATTTGCATCTTGCCCTTAAACTGCTGACAAGAACAAATTTCAAAATGATCAAACAGGCATAAAAATTGATGGATTGTATTGATTTTTCCAGGAACTGGCAGCTTAACTCTTTTTTAAAAAGCAGACCTATCGTTTTTTCTACGCTAATTGTACCTTCAGGGAAATCATCAATGTTTCATGACTGCAGGTGTAACTTCTAAAATCCAGATATAGATTTATTTTTAATGAAGATATAAAAAAAAGAAGAAAAAAGCTTCTAAAAACCCAACCCTCAGCTGATAAAAATGAATAGTTTCCCTACTGTTTATTTCACATTTTTGGTCAAAGTACAGATCTAAATGTTGATATAGTCAGATAAAACAGAATCTTTAGAAGGATTATACTTTTTTGGTTTTACATTAATATCTATCTGATCATATAAGCAATGTGTATTTAAAGAGGTTTGAGGTATAAACACTTAGTGCTAAAGTTGCATCTTAGGGAGTTATAAGAAAGAAGTTGTTTAAAATGCACTAAATTTAAATCGGACCCCTTTCTGTGCACCCTAAATGCACTAGAAAAAAAGCAAAATCGAGATAAGTCATTTTTTCTTAAAATAAGTGCATTTTGTCTTTGATTGAGGAGGTAAAAGAGACGTCTTGCCAATGGAACAAGACAATTGACACTTAAAATACGAAAAAACAATTGCATTGTCTTATTTCAAGTGCATTTTATCTAAATATCTTATTTAAGTGTAAAACTACTCATTCCATTGGCAAACTATCTAATTTACCTACTCAAATTCAGGGTAAATACACTTAATTTAAGAAATTTCTACTTATTTCTAGATCGTTTTCCCAGTGTGGAAAGAGCTTTTTTCATGCTTTTTTCTTGAAAATAGTTTTATACTCATTATAATTTGTACCATCTTCATTTGTCTTTTGTGTCCATAATATGCATATGCGTGTCCTTCAAAAGTAAATCCAGAAACCTTGTTCAGCCATCATCTTTGTCCTGCATATTTCTTGCATCGGTACCAAAAGGTCATTCCTAACTTCCACTAAGTGATACACCGAGACAAATGAGATGAGATGTTATGCAAATTTAAAATTGTGAGTTAATCAATCACAATCTGAGCCTGATGTCAAGCTGCTCTTCTTTAATTTATACAGTAGACGTTACCATGAAATGTCTTAAGAAGAAGAGCAACAATTTTTGAATGACTGCGATGGATATCAACAAGGTTAGAAAGATGAAGAGGAATGAATGTATGGGGATGGCTGACATGGACTTCTTATGGTTTGTTGGCTAAAGTGATCAGCTTTTCTTTTCATTGGAGTAGGACAGAGGTCTTCCGCTATATATACCTTATAGCAGTAGGTGCAGACAGTAGCTTTATTAAAGGGCAGACTTTACAACTAACCTTCAGCTCTGTAAGCAGTGTTAGAGGTGATTTGTAGACGAATTGAAGAGACAATGACAATAAAAGATGGAGGGCAGGGAGGGAGCTGTGACAGCAAGGTGGAGTTACAGATTACAGAGACCACAGGAAATGACAGGGAGACTGATATAGGCGCACAGCGGGGACGGAAAACACATCCTGAGATGCGAAATGCCAAACAGAGGGAGAGATCGGAGCAGATAAGAGGTGAATCAAAAGAAGGTTGGATCCTTGGTAAACAGATGAGAAATGAAAACCCCTGAGAAGTCGAAGAGCAACATTTGAGCTGAATGTAATTGCCTGAATGGTTAATGATGGGATGAGAGGGAGCAGTAGAGCTCGAGGCTTACAGACAAAAGCTGATAGCACAATAAAACCCAACTATTCGATTCTTCTCTTGCTCTGTCGGCCATGTTTTTCTTTTTCTCATCCTGACAATGACTCCCCAGGAGCTGCCGAACTGCCCTGAAGGAACGAAAATAGAGTTTCTAAGCGCAGCCTAGAGAGAAACATCCTTTTTTAACAGAGAGAAGAGAGAGAGAGCATGGTGTGGTGGTCAGGTTGAGTTTACCACTAAATATCCAGAGCAGCAAAATTTAGTTTTATTTTTTCCAAACCTTCGATGTTTGACAAAAATTACCTTCAAGATTTGATTTTAATTCACTTGCAAATGAATTCTATCTATGAATATGGCAGGAAGGGAGGGAGAGACACATGGAAACCAAAGCAGGGGCGATGATGCATGAAGGACAGACGGTTGTGACTGTTTTTTGTTGCCCTTTGTTTGCTTTTTCACCAGGTTTTAAAGATGCTTCAATGCTTGTGTAATTTCAGCTTAGATTTTCATTGAAGAAATTACTGTCAATTTAGCAAAGAACGATTTAAGAAGTGTTTGGGAACCCAAGCACAGAGGATAGATTCTGATTACATAAGAGTGGCGTTATGAGTCTGGCACAGACTCCAGAACCTCATCTTGATAATAGTCGGCCTTTAAATTCTCTCCAAGACGTTATACCAGAAAGGGAGAAGTCACCCAGAAACATAACATTATATTCTGTTGCAATCAAGTACCAAGTTCTCTGCACAGGACGTTGGATCACGGCATTGATTTCAATGTCGCCACTTTCCTAAAAGCTGAAAATAAGCTCTGTTTCTTTTTAATCAACAGGGGTCCAGTTGAGTCATGATGTTTATGTACCAGTGGAAAAGTACGCCATATTTATAAAAGTACGCCATAGTCTAAAAAAGGAGACAAAAAAAAATAAATATTCTAAGTTTCATCTTTCTTTTTATAACAATAAGGGAATTATTCTCCACTTTAATAGTAATGATTTTTAGGAAGCAAAGCATCACTTTTGGAACTGACCATAAGGTTTTTTAGCCTCGTGAGACCATCCTGATCTCGCAAGCTTTCAAGGTTTCACTCGCAGATCAGTCTGGAGACTCTCCGTTGAAGAAAATTTGGAGCCGTTCACCAAACGAACGTCCAATCAGCGTTGGCTTTGAGGCGGGTTGAGGTGTGACGCAACGAGAAGCGCGACAGTTCAGTCTAAAGAACATGGCGGCTTCAGCCGATGAAACTAGCGTTAGCGTGGCTATCGGGCAAGTTTTATCGGAATTACAGAGCATTTCTTCACTGAAAGAAGAGCAAAACACTGCTCTGGAGGCTTTTCTCAGAGGAAAAGATGTCTTTGCTCTTGTCCTGACTGGTTTCGGCAAGAGTTTGATCTATCAATTGGCTCCTCTTCTTCGTCGCTCTGTTAGTACGTCATATTCTTCGTTGATCTGTTTGGTTTATCTGGCCCGTCTATCACCAACATAGGCCAATCAGCTAACCAGTATTTTCGCCCCTTCCCAAAATTACTTCAACGGAAGGTTTCCAGATGGATATGCGGAGCAAATACATCTGGCGGAGTCAGGTTAAAGGTTTTTTGCTCTATCAGCAAGGATTTATGGGATTTTATGGGGAGTAAAATGCTGCTGTCTTGCAACACTACTTCTTACGCCATACAGCTGATCCATCTCTTTATTTCAATCTTTTAAAAGGTCCGTAGGATCTTATTCAAATTAAAATGAATATATAGTTACAATGATTAAGGTGTGACTGTTGGACTGTTAAGACAATACCAACATGATGATTTGAATGAATTCATATGCATTTGGTTGGAACAGATGAAAACACTCCTTTATTGTAAATGTCTGAGTTTGAACCCTGAGCATGTCTTCCTGGGCTTGTGACTCACCTCGGAAACTTTCTAAAGACAGATGGACTTCATCACTTGACAAAAGACTAGAGGAAAAAGTTGTGGAGAGGACTCCTCCACTTAGCCGCATGTTGTTTTCAGCACTCACTTCAGTTCAGGAAGCAGGATTTCTTCACTCTATCCTTAGATGTTTAAAAGGCTGCCTTCTTCTTACACTTGGCTTCTGACTGCAGCAAAGCTGAGAGAACTTTAATGGTGCCCCCATGGGCATCGAATGCACCACAAAGCAGAGAACTGGAGAGACAACAAAAGAGGACTGGATGCTATAACTGACTTCAGTCCTCCTCTCCCTCATGCTGTCCTCATTATCAGCAACCTCCTACAGCTGGAAACCCACTGCGAAATGCAGATCTGCTTCTCGTCTGACAATTTGAGGGCAATTACTAAAATACTGATTGGGAGTAAAGAGGTTAACATAGCTTTTTTGTTTTTATTTTTCTCAGTTTTGCTCTAACACGTCTCAGTGAGGAAATGTTTTCAGGAACAGTAGAAATCCACTCAGCCTTAACTGTTCATGTTTTGTCTTTTTGCTGCAGTACCTGGGGCTGGTGGAGGTGGAGGAGTCTAGAGGGATGCACGTCTGTGAGGAGGCTGTGAAAAAACTAAAAGTTGTAAGTATTCTAACACATACAGGGACATTTAAAACTGGAGCTCCAATTGGTTGATCAGAAGTAGCAGTTCCACCTCATCACACACCTAAAGGCTTTAATAAAGTATTCACGCCCTGTGAAGTTTGTATTTTTTCATGTTACAGCAGAAAATGTTCAACTTGTTTCTTTAGTGAAGAAGAAAATAAAAAATAAAGTGGAGTTCATTTGTATTCATCCCTAATAAAATCCATCGCTTCGATCTGTCCTTTGAAGTCACCTAATTAGTGATTAGAGTCTACCGCTAATTATTAATTGCATGATGATGCGAGATTGCGAGATTTAATCTGAGTGAATGGGGATGTTTTGCGAAGACCTCGGAGGTTTGTTAGAGAACAAACAGCATCATGAAGATTTTCTACAGGATGGTGTCCTTCACTAGACAGGAGAATGCTGTGGAGAAGTTTAAAGCAGAGGTTCAGTTATAAAACAATAGAATAAACGATAACATCTCACAGCGTACAGTTCAATGCATCATCTGGGGACAGCAAGAGAATGGCACAACTGCAAACTTATCAGGATTTAAACTAACAGGCTGGGGAAGACATGTATTTATTGAGAAGCAGGGAGATTTGCCATGCTGACACTAAAAGAGCTGCAGCCACCTACATCTCACTTAATATATATGACTTCAGCCAAAGGAACCAGAGTTGCAAACATCTTAGCTTAGGTGAAACCAAACTTAATTTAGTGCATGGCTCTACGTGTAGCAATAGACTGGTACATTGGCCATCAATCAACTGACAAGCTTTTCCCAATTGGGGTCGCGAGGGGTGCTGGTGCCTATCTCCAGCAGTCAATGGGCAAGAGGCGGGGTCCACCCCGGACAGGTCGCCAGTCCATCGCAGGGCAACACACACAAAAAACAACCATTCATGCACACACTCACACCTAAGGACAAATTTAGAGAAGCCAATTAACCTAACAGTCTTGTTTTTGGACTGTGGGAGGAAGCCAGAGTACCCAGAGAGAACCCACACATGCTCAGGGAGAACATGCAAACTGCATGCAGAAAGACCCCAGGGAATTGAACCTACAACCTTCTTACTGCAAGGCAGCAGTGCTACCCACTGCACCACTAAGCAGCCCTGTACATTGGCCAATATATTTGATATCTTTTTCCAATATTTCCAATTTTATCGGCTGATATTGACATGCGTTCTAGATTCATTAGTGCATTCAGCAGTCCTGTCTTCAAATCATGGGATGCACTTACATTGCTGCTCCTAGCATCTGCTATCCATTGTTAACGTATTTTTTTAATAGATTTTACGGCACCGGTGACTCGTTTTTTCGGACTGTAGGCTGACAGGAAAGGGGGTATGAGAGAGGGGGAGAGACATGCGACAAAGGACGACAGGCCTCTGTACATGGGTCGTGCATGCTAATCACTGCACCACCTGCACTCCCATGTTTTCTTCAATTTGTCAATAAATCGCTCTTTTTGAAGATTTGTGTAACGTTCTGTCATTTTTTTTTCATGTAAATGAAGGAAGAGAAAGCAATATGGGCTTAAAGAATCGCCACAAAAAGACTCAGGACACTGAGTGCAAAATAGACATCGGCATCAGCAGTAAAGGAAATCTATTGGCCGATCTATGTGTTTAGGGAATGCTTTCACTAAACATTGCTCTGAATACAGAATCTACATAAGGAAACATGACTCTGAGGCTAAAGGCACCATAAACCCATACCTAAAGCAATATGGAATAGTTCTGATCAGAGTATGTATGTTAGAGGCCTAGTCAAAGTTCAGACTGATATCCAATTGAGAACTGTGGAAGAACTTAAAAGTGTTTGCAGATGTTGTCCATATAATTTGACTTAACTGGAACTAAAAAAGGCAGTTTTAGCCCAGGTTGCTGAATGTAGATGCTCACCGTAATTGAATCTTAAGTGCGCCTGCAGACTGGGCTCAATATTTCCATCCTTGTTTATTTTACTATACTGCTTTCATTCTCCATGGTGGGTCTGGGCCCGTATTTATTCTTGTTTGCTTTTATAAAGTCCGATGCAGGAAAAGACAACAGAAAGTGAACCATAACGCAGCACACACACTGAAACACGCTGAGTTTCCCCCCTTCTTCTCCCTGGGAGGCTGGACTCAGACGGGGAGCGTGTGAACACGGTGACACAGTTCCTCTTAGACAGCCATAGGCTCATAGTGGAAAGGCAGAGTACAACAGGACTCACTTTGTTTAAAATCCATACATGTGGTTCTGTAACCAAAGAACTCAAAGGAAGACATTGTAGGAAACATGTTCTGTTTTCACTCCTTTAGTTTGCTTCACATTCAGCTCTCCACTTCTTCACTGCATGCATAGGTGACTTTACATTCCCCCCCTCGATCTGCTAATCATCCTTTTCTTCGCATCTTTTACCTGCCATTAGAGGTTTGTAAGAAGACAAGGTGTGTGCAATGCACTTTTTGTGTCATGGTGTTTATAGTGAAACAAGCTCCTAGTATTCACCCCTCCACCCACACACGAGTCTGATTTGCAGAATTGACTCAAATCTAATCATAATTTTAAATCTGGATGGATAGGGATGAAGACGGCCTTTAGATGCTTGTTTGCTTCCAAACTTGTTAACAATCAGCACATGGGGATGATATCATGAAGAAGGTATCATTTTTGCACTCCTTTGTCAAAATTAAAAACATTTATAAACATTCTCCTCCTGTTCTTTGCCTTTGCAGAGCGGCAAAAAGACAGTAAAAGCAGTCCTGTGGGTTTCTGCTGATGGACTCAGGGTGGTTGATGACAAAACCAAGGTAAGAAAGAAATAATTTAGCCTCTGAGCTGTTTGAAAAAGCTCAGTGAAAAGCACTGTGTTGGCCAACCTACACTGATGATTGAATCGGTCTCAGTTTTATTGTCCTTTTCTAATATTTACCTCGAATGATCCTCCACACTACAAAAACAATCTGAAATTAAGTAAAAATTTCTTAAATCAAGTGTATTTAGCCTTAATTTGAGCAGGTAAATAAGATAGTTTGGCAATGGAATGAGTATTTTTACACTTAAAATAAGACAATGCAATTGATTTTTCTTAATTCAGATGTAAATCGTCTTGTTCCATTGGCAAAGTGTTTCATTTACCTCCTCAACTTAGGATAAAATGCACTTATTTTAAGAAAAAATGACTTATTTAGATTTAGACATTTTTTTGTATGAGAGTGCTCCACAGACACACACTCGTGATGGGGGGTGAAGGTCTCCAGCAGCGAGCACAGAAAGCTGCAGCTCTGCTGAATGTTAAGCAGAAAAAACAAAGCCTGTTGAAGCTGCTTCTATTTCCTCACCTGACCAGTTTTATTCTGACACCGCACACGTCGGCCTCTCCTGTCCTGCTCTCTCATCACACTTTTCTCCTTTGCTTCAGCACCCCCACCTTACCTTTTACAGCCATATTGCATATCACTTTTAAACTTGATCTGGCTCGCTGTGCAGGTCCTCAGAGGCTATTAAATGTTGTAGTGTTGGAGTTGGGCTCCTGTTTCCACAAAGATGGGGACTACAGTGTATAAAATATACAGCCTGTAACAACTGGGTTATTTAAAACTCTAGAAAACTGAAGAAAGTGACAAAAAAATAGTTAGAACGGCTCCTTTTCTCACCTATTTTAAAGGGTTTGTTTGTGAGACTTACAGCCATCTACACTGAAAAAAAAAAAAGATACTTTGGATCAACTTAAAAAAAATACTGTAATTTGTTACACCTAAATTTATTACTTTGTCTCAAATTAAGTTTCTGATGTGGTTGAAACTATACATTTTGATGTACTAGAAATATATTTTTACCTTAAGCCAAAGAAGGAAAGTACATTCATACAAAGCAAAACTATAACTTATAACAGATTATAAAAAAGTTTTATGCTTTTTTATATTATATTTATATTTTTTCTATTTGGAAAAATAAAATCTGTACCTTTAAATACAAGTAGAGAATAAAAGAATAAAGAATAAAAACATAAATCTGATCCTACTATATTGACCACAGGATTTATAATTCATGATAACTTAGAGCTTGACCTTTAGTTGTTAAAAGATCGTTAGTTCAATCCTATTTTTTTTTTTAAAGCTAAGCTGCAGTTCCTCTGAGTTCGTACAATCGTCTCCATATGATAAAGACGCCATTTCTCTTGATGACTACAATGCCTGCCCATCATAATCCTTGCTATTCTGAAACTGCGCAGACTGCATTAGTTGAAACAGCTGCCTTGCTCATGGTGGTGCTGTGCTGCTCACACCTTTTTTCAATTCGTCAGGTAATGAGGTCACATTCACGTGAGTTACAGCATGTGGAAGGATAAACTCCTAGTGACACTATTACCTTTGACTTGAAGTAGATATTTACTTGGAAAATAATTGTTTTAGTTGATTGTTTCTGTGATAAGGGATTTTTAATTCCAGATAAAGTGAAATTATTGGTTTCAAACCACACATGCATTTTTTTAAGTTGAAACAACATCAACTTTTAAGTTGACCGAATTAAATGGACATTTCACTTCTTTCAGTGTAGTGCACAACTTTGACGTGTCACATAAAATCCCCTACCTCAGTTTTAGGTTTCTCATCCACCACTGTTAGGGTTAGGGTTTGGCCTCAGGGGAGGGGACAAACTGAAGGTATTGAATTAGGTAATAAGTCCATGGAGCAAAGGATTAGATTTCCTCTTGATTTGACAGAACGGTATTGAATAAAATAGAAAATACCTTTATTGTCCTACAATGGGGAAATTCTAGTAATATTGGCACAAATAAAGATGATCAAGTAAACAAAAAACTTAATTTAATCTTTACAAACAGCAGTCAGCTGTCATTTATATAAAAAAGCTTTGATGTAGGGGATAAATGAAAAAAAGCAAACTTCTGGTTTGGATTGTGTCTCTCGACTATCCAGGTTTGATGTCTTCTTTCTCAGGAGAACAACTAATTAGTCGTTTACTGCAGGGTAGAAACTAAAACATGCTTTTAGCAGACAGAGCAACGCACCTTAAGCAGCAATTCTACCAAAATTGTAAAAAAAAAAAGATTTAAAAAAATGTTTTCCTCTGTCAGAATGCTCCATCCAGAGCTCGTCAAGTAGAAAAGTTCGTTTTACCTGGTTTCATTTCCTAAAGAATCTTCTTCCGATTATTAATAGATTAATTTGAAATATTATAAAAGGTTAATCTTTTAGCAAAATAACCATAAGTTGCAGCCCTAGTTTGATTATGAAGTGAACATATTAAGAAAATCAGTGTTTTAGTATACATGATACTTAAAGCAAGCACGATAATTAAGGAAAGAGCTGCTTGTTGTGATGAATAAAGTGAGGTTTCTCATTCGATATAAATTTTGGCATCTTTCAACTAAAAACAGAGTTTTAACGGGTCAGATACTTAGAGATTCTTCTCATGTGAAGATGAAACTGAGAGAGAAATTCTGCTTTCATTAAAATAGGAGCTATTTTTCAGTAGGTAAAGCAGAAAAAACCCAATAAATTCTGACCAATGATTGAGGATATATCTTCTTAAGACACTGATAGATGCTCTGCAGTTCCAACCACTTCTGATGTAGTCCTCCTCCTCCTCCTCTTCCTCCCCTGCTTTCTATGAATCATTCTGTACTCTTTTATTAAACCCACACAGTCATTATAGACAGTATAGGATCTGAAGGCACATTTAGGCTTCTGTTTAACATGAACCTCTGCTGCACCTTCGCCGTGAACCGATAGCTGGGAATAAAACAGCGCTATTTCTTTATTTCATTTCTTTCAGCAGCTGTTGGGGCTTTAAACTCGTTTGCTTTTCTAGATGAAGCTCATTGTGAGTCATGAGGTGCACTGATCTGCTGTTTCTTTCATTTTCTTTATAGGGAACGTCTCCATCAAAGCCTCTGTTCATTGTTATTATATAAATCTTTAAATAAAGCGTTATCAGATTGTTTTGTGTTTTCCACGGCTCACAGACACCCATGAGGAGAACAACCGCAAACACACACCCACAGAAACACTGGCCTTTGCCCAGCCTTTCACCTTGGTACCAGCATCCCCTTTGATTCACTAATTGGCCCAGATTGAATGGACTCCCATTCTTTCCCTCTACATCCCTCTTTCCTTTTCTCCTCCTCTCTAGTCCTCCTTCTCGCTCCCTCTCTCTCCTCTTCCAATGCCCTTCTTGTTTTCTCGCCGGCTCAGAAACACAGGAAGGAAGTGTGCGGATGAGTGTGTGAACCCTGCTCCCTTTCGTCTCCCCTTCACCTCTTGTTTCTCCCTCCTTCTGTGTTTGAGTGCGAGTCAAAGAGCCGAGCCGGGGGCCCCTTAATGTACACAGAGAAAGACAGGGCCCCCCTCTTAGTTTCATCTATGGTGACTGTAGACTCTGAGAGCTGAATCACCCTTTCACTAAAAGAAGGGCAGGCAGTGGAGGCGGCCCAGAGATTCAAAGAGGGTCAGTGTCATTAGTTGGTAGTTAGAGGCCTTTTCTGTCATCAGTGGGTTTGTAAATATGCTGGAGTGAAAGGAGGCGAATGAGGACCTAAAGCAGTGGGTCAAGTAATTGGGATCAATCCAGGGGCAAGTTTGGGCCAGGATTTTCTGTTTCTCTTTACCTAGGCCTTGAATAAATAAACCAAGCAGTGGATTTTTCCCTGGAATGTCCTGTCTGATTCCGGTTGCCTCTCTCCTGTCTTTGTCTGATTTCCTCTGTCAGGACCTCATTGTGGACCAGACTATAGAGAAGGTTTCCTTCTGCGCTCCTGACCGGAACTATGACAAGGCCTTCTCCTACATCTGCAGAGACGGAACCACCAGACGGTGGATGTGCCACTGCTTCATGGCCCTGAAAGACTCGGTGAGGCTGCGGGAAATCTCACACACATCCCCAAACTCAGCACCAGAACCTGGATCCTTTCAACAAACTTTAGATTCCAGAAAACGTTTCCAATCTATGGCACCAATATTCTTAAGTAAAATGTTTTCTAAATTTCAAAGCAGTGTTGGAAATCGATGGTATTACCCAGGATTTAACGATGATCAATGATGACAATCCTGCGAGACGATGAAAATGTTTGAAAATTTGCTTTGGATATTTTTTGTATACAAAAACAGGTTCTCAAAGGAAAATAAACAGTGTTTCAAGAAGCTGCAATCAGTGTAAAAAACTAAATCCAGTCCAAAGAATTTTTAGGTTTAAGGTTAAAAGAAGCTCCTGAAATAAAGGATTTTTATGGGAACTTATGGGTATAGCATTTGTTACGAGGGTTTAAGCATGGGTTTTGCGACATTTAGCTGTAATAAATGTTAATTTATTAACAGTTTGTGGTGAAAAAGGAAGGAAATAATTCAAATATTCAACACATTTTCGGTACTAGAATCCAAAAGCATTCCCAGTGAATTAACAGATTTTTAAGAATTTTATTTATATATATATATATATATATATATATATATATATATATATATATATATATATATATATATAGAATAAAGAATCTATAACTGTATACAATATAAAACATACACTATACTATATACAATATATGGTATATATCTATATGTACCGGTACTATATACATAAAAAACAAAAAAAGGTATATTTTGATTAAAAATACAAATATAGCAATAAAGAAAGCACTTTAAACACTTTAAATGTTTGACTCAGTTTAAATAAGCGAATAAAATGAGCTAAAAACAAGAAGAATTGTTCCAAATGTCCTCTGATTTAAAGGGATTACCCTTCAGTTAGACACTGTGAAATGATAGTTAATGGCTAAAGCAGCAGGTTCTAATCCTAACTACAGGAACACTCTCTCATTATCAGTGTTGTGGCTTTGACATCGCTCAGTTTTATTGCTGAAAATATCAGGACACTGCTGAAAAGAGGAGGGATTCTGGTCTAGGTTGGGAGAAACATAAGAATTGTTGAAGCTCTCAAGGTGGAGGCCAAGGGTGTAGGTTTGATTTCAACTTTGGTAGGGACACTGTTGGTCTGATGTCATTGGTCCTATGCAAAAATATGCATGCTCGTTTTTTTATGCTTGACGTAAAAATCAGGGTGTATTTCGTTTAAAGAGAAAAACAGCATTTCTTGCTACATTTATACAAATTTTATAAGCACTACACACACTAGATGCTGTTTATCAATGACTGATGCTTTACTGGCTCTGATGAATTAGGAAATAGGACTTTTGTCCACTTTGAAAAGGTTTGCATTTGAAATTACCTAAGACAGTAGGAAAATCTAACAGAATATAGTCTAAATATGGCTGTTATATGTGGATTTATACTTTTTTTTTGAAGATATAGAATTGTGCAGAGGTAAACAGAGGTAAAGCCCACTCTTATCTTTTAAAAGTTCTCTTTGTATCATTAAAACAAAACAAAATAATAGATTCAAGGGACGCCAAATAAATGTATTGTGTTTACATGAGTACTGGAAATAGAATAGGAACTGAAAGTGAACATTTAATATATTAAATTCACTCTACGAGCTCTACATCTAGGCTGTAGTTACTCTTTTTAACCCATTTCATGTATTTTATTTATGGCTGAAACAATTCATTGGATTAATCAATTATTGAAATAATGTCAACAAATTTAGTAATCAATTGATCATTATGGAGTATCAAGACTCTAATAGATGTCTTTAGCTCACAGAGTGACCAACTAAGAGCAAGAATTATACCAAAAAAAAAAAAAAAAAAAAAAAACTTTTTCCATTTTAGATAAAACATGTTTTCGTCTGTCAATATTCCCCATCCCAGAACTCCTCTACTGCTGCAACAACACTGTATTGTAAATTATAAACATCTAATTTTTGGTAGGGACAACTCACCTAGATTAATAGTGGCATGGCTCGACCCAAGAGCTCTGCATAAGCTTATGAGGGACATCTGAGACATTTGATTCAGGTTTGTTGAAGAATGGATGCATCTTAAGGCTGCAATTGAGGACTGGATGATGGTGCCCTGTGCTTATACATAGTTATTTAGGGTAAACATTTCAAAGTATAATTGTTTTTAACTACATAGGCATTGCTGTCTTACCTCATTTATATTTCAAGTTAAGAATTAGTGCTTCTTTGAGTATTTTTTTTCTCGACAAGCTTTAAATGTTTTGCTGGATTAATAATCTGTGCAGGGAAAGTCAAAGGACAGACCTGCAGGATTAGAAGAGGGGATTTACCAGAATTCATTCTGTGTCGTTGTCTCTCTCTCTGTTTTCATCACTATGGCTTTTATATCTTTACTTCTTCAGCTATAGTGTTCCTTCAGGCTCTGTAACTCATTTTCTGTACAGTGAAGCTGCAGAAACAGAAAGCAGGCATTTTTATGGAGAAAATATGAAGGAATTGGCTTCTTTGAAGTTCCATTAATTTATGTTTATTTTTGAAAATGTGACAGATTTAAAAACCTTATCCTAATAAATTTAACTAAACCCAAATTTGAATGTGATCCAGTCATTTAAATCTAAACTAATCATCAAACAAATAATAGCTATGCTTTATCTGACGTCTGGAACTATTAAGTTCTGGAAACGAGACAGCAACATTTTATGCTGTCAATACTTTTTACCACTTTATTATTTTTTTTAACATTTTTTATTAATCTTTTATTAAAATCTTTAGTTTGCTTTTTTTTTTTTTTTTTTACTTTTTAAGATCTCTTCTCATTGCAATTCAACTGACGAAACATAATTATCTGCTGTAAGAAAGATTATTTTCAAGTTAAATATGTTAAAGGCAACTGGCAAAGTTTTAACCATTTAATATCCACACCGAACAAACCTCCGATTCTCAAAGTGTGCTGTTTACAGATATGTTTAAAAAAGGCAAAAGCTCTAGATTTTCAAACAGGTTTCTTTCTTTTATTTATTTATTTATTTTATTTATTTTAATACAAAAATAAAAACCATATTATATGTATCACTTTTATGTAAAGAGTTGCCAACGAAAGCAGCATTTTAGTTAATTCCAACTTTAATTTGTACGGAAGAGGATTAGGGCCACTGAAAAAAAAAAAAAAATTAACTGATTTTTTTTTTTTTTTTTATTTCAGTATAGTATAGGAAAAAAAGTCAGAATTCTGACTTTAATCTCAGAATTCTGACTTTTTTCTCAGAATTCTGACTTTAATCTCAGAATTCTGACTTTAATCTCAGAATTCTGACTTTTTCCCTCAGAATTCTGAATTTAATCTCAGAATTCTGAGAAAAAAGTCAGAATTTTGACTTTAATCTCAGAGTCAGAATTCTGCCTTTTCCCCATGTTAAACTGAAAATAAAATTTAAAAATCAGTTAACTTTTTTTTTTTTTTTTCAGTGGCCCTAATCCTCTTCTGTAAATTTGCAAAGTTGGATCTAAATGAAAAAGCTTCCAGAACAATATTCTGTGTTCTAATAAGTAGTAAAAAAGATTTATTTCCTTTACTGCACTGAATCATACTCCAATACAGTAAAATAAAGCATATCAGCCCAAAAATAAAAAATAAAACTCATTGGGCTTTTTTTCTAGCTTTAGAACCTGCGTTGGTGCCTTGATAGAATTTCTCTGTATCATAGACTTATACAATTGTAGTCAAGCATCCCACACAAGCAGTACATGTAGAACAGAGTGAATAAAAATATATAAATCAAGTCAAATAATGGATATTTAGAGAGATTTACAAGAAGAAATGTCTGAAAAACTCCAGAAAATGAAGCAGTGCTGTATAGAAAAGTGGAAAAGATTTATAAAAAGAAAAAAGTTAGCCTGGGTTACTGCTAATGACTATAGAGCAGTTCCTTCTGCTATGTGTGTTAATGACTTTTTTTGTTTATACCAGGGTGAGCGATTGAGTCATGCAGTCGGCTGTGCCTTTGCTGCCTGTCTGGAGAGAAAGCAGCGAAGAGAGAAGGAGTGTGGCGTGACGGCTTCCTTTGACGCCAGTCGCACCTCGTTTGTGCGTGAAGGCTCCTTTCGCATCAACTCCTCCTCCAGCCAGCAGGGCAGCAGCAGTGAGCGAGATGAGAAGCCTCAGGATAAAAAGAAAGGTAGGAAAGTGCTCCAAGTCCTCACAGCTGACATTAACATTCAAAGTTATATTTCTTTTAACTGTTAAATGAATTTCCAGGAAAACTTTATAAACCACTGTTGACTTGTCACTGTTTTCCTTAGATCCACCCTCTGTCATCCCATCTCTACCTCCTGGCTCCGCCTCTCCACCTGAGGGGACAGCGTCCCCGATGGAGCGTCCAGAACCCGGCGGGCCCCATGCTATCCCTCGCCGCCATGCACCCATTGAACAGCTTGTGCGCCAAGGCTCATTCAGGGGATTTCCTGCTCTGAGCCAGAAGAACTCCCCTTTTAAGAGACAGCTGTCACTGCGTCTCAACGACCTGCCTTCCACTCTGCAACGCAAGACGGACTTTGAAGTCAAGAACCCTGGTGAGTGTAGACACCTGCTTACCCTCCAACCTCAGTGACCTTGTGTTTCTTAAAACTAAAATGTTTAATAAGCTCTAGTTTTGTCAAATTTTCTTCATAAGAATACAGAAAAAATACACCTTGTTATTGTTTGATATTCATTCCTCTTCCATATAGGAGGGGCAGCAAAACAGGTGAATATTATGAGGATGTTTTATAAATGTGTTCATTAGATTATATTCCTCCTACCTTTATGCTTTTATTATTTTTTCTCTCTTGCCCTTTGAATATTGGCTCATTTTGGAACTTCCATTTCTAATGCATCTATTTTCAGCAAAACGGAGATTTGAATTTGAATAAAAATTAATAAAGTTAATTGATGGATTAAGTATTACGATTTTTAATATAATACAGATAAAATTACTTCCTTCTCAAATAATGTGGTATACAAAGTTTTTATCTTAATTTAATGCAATTGATATAAAGCTGTTATAGGGTGGGGGGATTTATTACTCTTTTGGTAAACAGCTTTAATCTAGTATAATGATGCATTTACAGTACCTTAATAATAGGGACTTCAACTTTTTTATTTTGGTTTTTTATCTGTTTTTTACCTGCTTGTTTGAATCAGAAAATATATATCTGACTCAGTTTGAAAAAAAACTTCAATGCTCTGCAGAGAGTAACTGTAAGCTCGCTTCATAACCCTCAGTCATAAACTTTGAACCTGCAGAATAAAAAGGAGCGGTCCACAAAATAAAGGATTTGAAAGATGGGCAATAAAATATAGCGTTATTAAAGCATTCATCCAATGACATTTGTTTCAACTGACTAATTTAATGACAAAATATGTCACAGTTTTTTTTATTAGCATACATTTTTATTTAATGGAAAGAAGCATCAGTCCTGGTTTGTTTTACAAACACTAAACGATAAGTTGATTGTAGGATCATTCCTACATTTTCTATTTGGTTTTATGGTTTGATCGTTTAACCTTAACTTAATGGGTTTAAGTATTCCTTTTTCACTGAGAACTTACATCTCCATACATTTTAATTATTCACTTATAGTTTTTAATATGACAATAAGGGATAATTTGTACATAGCTGGTTGATAATTACGCATTCACATAGTGATATATACTAGTTTGCATTAGAAATCCCTGATCCCTGGTTCAAAGTTTATGCTTTAATTTAAAGTTTGGTTGAATCTAATGTTACGTATATTATGTTCTCAATGAAAAGGTAGCAGGCCATTATATTTGCTCTTTGCCCCCTTGTGACATTAAATATAAATTACTTATTGATCTGTAGGGTCAGTCTGCTAATCAAGTTGGCCAATCAGAATAACCTTTAGAAATGCACAAAGCTACCATTACCAGGGGAATAACAAACAAACAAGCACACTTCCTCAGCAGTAATGTGTTTAAACTCTTGGAGCTTCTAGACTCTGCAGGATACAGGCTGGATGATGAGAATAAAACTTAGTTTAGGCAAAACAAGACACAGAGGAAAAACTCAAAGTTAGACCTATAATATGCTTCCAAAACCCAGTATTATCCAAACCCTGCAGCTTTACAATCTAACACGCTGAAGGGAAGAAAAAAGGCATCATAGAGGAAATAAAAATTAATTACTAAATAAACAGCAAAAGCAAAACAATTCATAGACCTTAAAGTTTTCATTTTGTCACGTTCCAACCTGAGTATTTAGTGTGACAGACCATCACAAAGCTGCACCCAGCCTTAAATGGGAGAAGAAGAAAAATGTTTGGAATGTTTTATAGAATTAAAAAAATAAACATGGCATCAGCCCTTGTATTTTGCTTCCTTTATGCAAATCACCTCTGTTTGTCATTGCATCTGTGTATTCTCCTTCTCTGCATTTAACTTGTCCTTAAGGGAGCAGTCGCTAGCTTTCTGCCATAAGCCATCTAGCAGACGCTTTGCTTAGATGGAACCAAAAGAGAGATTTTTTTTTCTTCTAAGTGCAAAATGCTCCATGCAGCATAGAACTAAACCCATCATGAAACATTATAACGGTAGCATTATGTTCTATGGATGCATGTCTTTCAGCACAGCGAGGAAAGCTGGCCAGACTTAAATGCAAATGGATGGAAATAAATACATGATAATAAGAGATTTGAAACTGGGGGGAGAATTTTCAATACCTTCCATCAGCACAACGGTCCAGAAACAGCAGCATTCATTCAGAGCAAAGCGTAATCATGTGTTATATGGCCTAGTCAAAGTTCGAAACTTAATCCAAACAGGAATCAGCAACCAGACTCTAAAACATGTCTGACATGTTTGCACTTGCTCTCCATCCATACTGACTAAACTCAGGCTATTTTATCTTTAGAGAAGAATGGTCAAGGAGAAATAAAGCAAAGACTTATAGCTGTAGTTACAGCAAAGCCGATTCTCCCAAGTTTTATTTGTAAAAAGAAAAATTAAAAAATCTTTTATTTATTTCCTTCCACATTGTACATATTCATCACATAAAGTCTCAATAATAAAATGTGAACTTTTAAGGTTGTCATGCAAAAAGACAAAAAAAAGAATTTGGTATAAACTAGACCGGCAATGATAATGTAAACGACATATAAGTCTGGAAGAGAGTGGATAGTGCTGGATTTCAGAGGCATGACTAAAATATATAGGGGAAACTATTTAGAACCAATGAGATAATTATAAATATGAAGCAAAAACATATTTAAACCAAAAAAGAAAAGCTCTTAGAGCAGCAAGTTGTTTACATTTTAACAATATTTTTTGGAACATTAAATGGCGTCAATAAATATCACTCCATTGCAGCTGCTCTCTTGACTGTAATGGCTACAGAAAAGAGTTGCTCCATTATGGCCCCGCCTCCCATGCTGCGATTGGTCCAGTCTGTTTTAAACCTGGACAGTATTGAGCCTTACCAGACTGGCCCAGTGTGGCTGGCCAGGCTAGGTATAACTACCTTTTTACAAGCTAAATGTATGCAACATACGTATTACTTTGGTGGTATTGGGAAAAAAGGTTCCCTTGAACTTACCTTGTTTTTTAGACATCCTTTACATCAGTAAGAAACCATTATTGATTCCTAACTATAGTTTCCTTTGTTCCAAACCGGATCAGTTACTCAACATGCAAAAGCTACTTCCTCCTTTAACCGATTGTCACACTTCTTAATCTTATTTTTGTCCTAATGTTGACTCTCTTTGCTCTCTTTTCTTCTTTCTTCTGTGTTTTGCCATCCTGTTGCTACCAGAGATGGACATGGGTTTGCCACTTGAGGGAGACAGCTGTATTAATGCACTGTGTAGCCAGATCAACACATCTTTCGCCAAGCCATCAGATGAGCTCTTTTCCAACCCATCCATGTCTGCAAATTGCCCTCCGACCTGCACTGTGCCCCCAATTTTGCCTCCACCGCCTGCACCCATCCAGGGTAAGAAGGAGTTATGGTGATTGATAGCTATAGATGGAGTGTTATCACTTTCTAAAGCTCTTTATTTTTGCTCTCAGCCACCTCCTCCTGGGTGCAGCCGGAACCTTCTCTACAGTCTCCTCCTCCAGTTTCTGCAGCTCTGCACAGTGGCCACAAACGCACCCCCTCAGAGGCTGAGAGATGGCTGGAGGAGGTATCTAAGGCTGTTAAAGCCCAACAGACGCCTCCCCCTGGCCCTATCATTCCTGCTATCCCAGGGCCCCCTCCTGTTACCAGTCATCATATAACCACACAGGCAACCTTGTCTTCTGCCGCCGTGTCCACTGTCCCAATGCCCCTCGGCACTTTGTCCAAACCTCTCCTCTCTGGCCCCTCTGTTCTTCCCTGTCAAACTCAAATGCCTCTTCCACCCATGTCAATATCATCTGTTCCTCTGATACCAGGTCCTCCGGTGTCTGGACCCCCTATGTCTCTCCCATCCATGTCCATCCCAACTATGTCTGGTCCGAGCATGTCTGGAGCCTCTATGATGCAGGGCTCTCTGCCCGGGGCCCCTGGCCCCCTTCCAAGTGCAATGCAACCATTCCCCCTTACTTTTGATGCAACTCCTGCCCCTGTTGGGATGTTTGCCAGCCAGCCGGTCCAGCCTGCCTTTATGCCCATGCAGACCTACATGCCTGGTCTGGCCAGCAGTATGACCTACCCCAACGCCAGCGTGCCGGTCGTAGGCATCACACCATCACAAATGGTGGCCAATGCCTTTTGCACCGCTACAGGTTCATCAGGCACGGGTTCGACCATGGGCTCTGCTGCTGGAGGGTCTAAAGCAGGGCCATTAGGAACAGTTGGGCATCACCATTCCTATCCTGGAGTGGCCAGTGCAACTGGGCACACCTCAGGGTTTAACGCAGCTACATTTTCCTCCACCCCACCTTTGTCGACAGCCATTAACGGCCTCCCAGCCCACACTAGTGCAACGGCAATTAATGGGACCTTGAGCAGTGGCGCAAATGTTGGCAGCTGGCCACCAGAGGGGAGCCAGTTAACCGCACCGGTGGCCAGCGACCCTCAAGACGATGACCGATTTGAGGCCAAGTGGGCTGCACTGGAGACAAAAGCAGCAACGCAACCAACGGGGAACAAAGCAGCGGCTGCAGCTGCCAACCCATTTTCCAACAGTCTGCAAAAGACATTTGAGATTGAGCTCTGAGTCACAGCCTGTCTCTAACAAATGTAGATCTTCCTTTGGATTTAAACCCCCCAAGGAAGATAGGAATCTTTTCCAGGATTTTTGCTTAAACGGTATACAGGTCCTTTCAGCTGGCCAAGCATCCTGCCTGTGGCATCCTTGGGGTCGGTACTACAATTATTTTAGTTTCTTTCTTTACGGTCCCAAGTGAGAAAGAGAAGAACAAAGATGTCTGCTGGTCGGGTTTCCAGCTTTTCAGACTTCACAAAGTGAATCCATTCAGTCCATCAGTTCCCAGCCTCTCCTTCCTGTTATCACTTCTCCACTCTGGCTTGACTATCCCTGCTGCAGGTCCCTGCATATACTGCATGTTCCTCCTACTGAAAGCACCACAGTGTGGACGCTGCTCAGTGCTTTCTTTTCTTTAAAAAAGAGAAAAGGTGGACTCCACTTGAATGCATTCCAATCCAAAAAAGATAGTTTTGGATGTTTTGCTTGTTTTTTCTTTATGGCGAAAATGTTATGTTGTGTGGTAACATTGTGGAGCAGAACGGAACAGATCCAAGGGACACGTCGATGCTGATCGCAGCAGAGCAGGTCAGACGTCTGGATGCCTGAAAGGATGAACTTAAACAACTTACTGACCAATAATAGAGATTTATGGCCAAAATGATTTTATTTATTGCTTTTTGATTTCAACATGTTATGTTTACCTTCAAAACCCTTACTTTGAAACTGAGATTCAGAAGCATGTTTTAGTTTTTTATCCCAACTAATTTCTTTTTTATTTTAAAAAGCAGAGAGTTATCAGCAGAGAAAGGAATCCTAATCATGTAACAGGAACCAAATAACCACAACTTCCACTCCAGCTGCGTACTGGCACAGGTCAGACCGGTGTATATAGCCGCATGTTTCTTCCACCTCACTGCTGCTGAGGTCCGATAAATCGGTGTGGCGTCACTTGGATGTGTAGCTTACTTTTATAATCGCCTAACAACAAGGGCATGAAACACTACTTCAGGATAACCAGCACATACAGTAGGGCACACAGACCTGTCTGTATTCACCAACCAACCCAAGAAACTATAACAACTCAGTGGAAAAAAATAAAATCCTCCTCCTAAACACTGTGCAACGCCGTAGAAACAATGCACTACATTCCAAAGTTCAGAAATCTCCTCAAACAGGGTATGCTCTCATCATGTACAGTAATGATTGTGTAATCACCTCTTTAAGTACTACAATACTGCTACACTGACAGTACCTAGCAAAAGTATTTACACCTTTTGTTGTGTTTCAACCACAAACATCAGTGTGGTTGATGTGACCCTGAATACTTCATTACTTATGGTCACTGCGGTAATAGAAACACTGAACCTTCAGGTTTCGCATAAAATCCCAATAAACTGCAGTGATATTAGTGATTGGAGGAGAACAAGATATGAAAAAAAGGTTTATTTAAAAGGGGATATCTTTGCTGATTTCATGATGAAAAGAGAAATCAGATAACGAGAGACTAGTATAGCCATGTTGGATGAATGTAAAACAAAGTTCCAGTTGGAAATTTAAAGTCAGAAGCACACGATGCTATGGCGGAGGAAAAGCCGTATGTGAGAGACTGAGGGATGAATGGGGAACAGAGTCATGAGAGGACTGTCTACACTGCAAAAAATGTAAACCTAAATAAGTAATTTTTTTAAAATAAGTGCATTTTTTCTTGAACTGAGGTGGTAATTGAGTAACCTGACTCCGCCAGATGGATTTGCTCGGGATATCCATCTGGAAACCTTCCGTAGAAGTAATTTTGGGAAGGGGCAAAAATACTGGTTAGCTGATTGGCCTATGTTGGTGATAGACGGGCCAAATAAACCAATCAGATCAACGAAGCATATGACGACGAAGAGGAGCCAATTGATAGATCAAACTCTTGCCGAAACCAGTTTGGAGAAGAGCAAAAACATCTTTTCCTCTGAGAAAAGCCTCCAGAGCAGTGTTTTGCTCTTCTTTCAGTGAAGAAATACTCTGTAATTCCGATAAAATTTGCTCGATAGCCACGCTAACGCTAGTTTCGTCGACTGAAGCCGCCATGTTCTTTAGATTGAACTGTCGCGCTTCTCGTTACCTCACACCTCAACCCGCCTCAAAGCCAACGCCGATTGGACGTTCGTTTGGTGAACGGCTCCAAATTTTCTTTAACGGAGAGTCTCCAGACTGATCTGCGAGTAAAACCTTGAAACCTCGCGAGATCAGGATGGTCTCACGAGGCTAGTAATTGAGACACTTTGCCAATGGAACGAGACAATTTAAATTTAAAATAAGAAAAAAATATAGCATTGTCTTATTTCAAGTGCATATTATCTAATTATCTTATTTTCAGAGTAAAAATACTCATTCCATTGGCAAATAATCTTATTTACCTTCTCAAATTAAGGGTAAATACACAAACTTTTAGACATTATTACTTATTTCTGGATCGTTTTTGCAGTAAGGTAATGGAGAGAGAAAAGTGAGGGGAAAGTTTGGTTTAGAGCTAAGAAACATTCGTTGTTGGGTCCAAAATAAAATCAGTGTGTCTGGTGTCCCATGCTTTCAGAAGACTCTCTTGCTCTGCAGCTTTAAAAAACTTTAAAACAACATCTCTGATTGGTCTGAAAGAACATATTACCTATCTGCAAGGTCCATGATTTATTTTTTCTTAACATGTGCAACTCGTGATACAGTTTGAACGTCAGCTGTCAGTGAGGCTTTGGTTCTCGCTGAGAAGATCCAGAATTTAAAAAGCAGAAATGTTTATAATCAAAGGGCTTTTTCTCTCTTCTCTAAACTATAATCTGATCAGATGCTCCTGTTAGGCTGCATAATTACGAACTTTTAACATTACCTGCTGCTTTTTTTAATGAGCTTAACGCCTCTCAGACATTTCCCATCACCCAAATTTATTTACAGCTGGCTTATTTTGAGCCAGTTTACCTCCTCCCAGACCTCAGCCTTCTAGGTTGAAATCAATATTCTATCCAATCTGAGCAAACTGCTTTCTTTATCTTCTTTCTTTACTAAAATAAGTCTGACTTATTGATTGACTGATTGATTGGGCTATGAAGTAGAGGCTTTTAGTCCATATTTTTTGCCCTTGGCTCTCGTTTGCACGCCCTCCAAATTATAAATGTAGGCTAATTGTGTTCTGCGTCAAAGCAAACTAAATGACCTCATCAACTTGATTGTAAAACCTTATAGCTTAGTGATGGTAACAAAGACAACCGGTGGAGTTTATTTTTAATCTTTATTTACAGAAGTTTTTGTATTTAAACCAACATATTTGTATTGTAATTACATTGTACAAAAGATAAATAAAGTAATATAATATTACTCCTGCTTCAGCTTTATTGAGCCAAACAGTAATTATTTGTGTTTGTCCTTTTTAAGTCATCTTTATGTGTCCTGACAATTGTTTTATTTTTTTTTTACCTCTGTAACATTTTTTTTGCAGATTATGCTACCAGCTTTTCTACCAGCTTATCAGCTTTTCTATACAATTTGCTTTCATTTTCAACTCCCCGTACTCTGATGTTTAATGACCCATAAAGGGACCACAGCCCTACAGCAGTATAGAGGCATCAAGCTGTGGGGCTGCTTTTCTGTAGGAGAGACTGAGAATCTGCTCAACAATTAGGAAAAAATAGTTAAAAAACAGTTAAAGAGGCGGGTTAAGACATAGCAATAGCAGGTTTTTTAAATTGTTTTGTGTTTGTAATAAAGAAAGCATGGCCTCAGGCGATCAGCAGAAACACAATTTTCAGTAAAGCACATCATTACTAGCCTGACGTAGTCCTACTCAATTCTAGTCAGAATATGAGTCTGATACTGCTCCATAGAGCTGTGATTATGGGGCGTATTTCGAACGAACCAGGAAAAAAAATGCCTCTGCACCAGTGGCGGCCGGCCCATAGGGGGCGCTGGGGCACCGCCCCCCCTGATAGAAGGAGAGAAACGTAAAATATATTTTTAGAAATTAACTCATAAATGTCAGTTTTACTCTCTAGACTGTGTACCTATAAGCAAAACAAATTATATAAACTACATTTCCCTACCTACTGTCATTAATTTGTGGATTTCCACAGACAGACTCCTACCGTCTCTGTTCTGGGGGCGCTGATCAGACAGCCCCACATTTGCAGAGAATCTGTCAATCATGTACTATTGCTAGGTGAATTTAATGGCCAATCAGCGTCTCGGAACTTTATGGTATTGGGGCGCTGAAAATACTGCGCTTTAACAGGCTTCTGAACCCAAGCGCAGGTGCAGACAATGAGAGGGAAGATGGCGAATGTAACGACCGAGATGCAGCTTCCACCAAATTCGGTGAGATCCTTATTTATCTACCCGTTTGCCAGAAGAACATCCCTGTTGTAGGATATGAACATTTCATGTCATGGTTATTGTGACTGTGACGAATCCACCTTGTCGCTTAAAACAACCTCTCTAACTTTGCGCGCCACACACACATTCCTGTTATACTGTGCTTGTGAGGAACAATACACTCGCGCTGAGCCCAGTAGCTCCATGAACTTAAAACACACAAGCTGTTCCTGGTTACCTGCTGGCGTATTGAGGGTGCACACTTAATATTTCAGTGGGGTTAGCCGTGTGTGTGTGTGTGTGTGTGTGGGTGTGTGGGTGTGTGGGGGGTGTGGGTGTGTGTGTACGTGTTTATGCTACGGGGACTTGTCATCTTCAGTCTGGCTGCGTCTTTGCTGGGTTCAATCCCAGTTTGGTGTAATTGAATAAGTCAATGAATCTGTGTAAAAGAACTAAGTTGTAAAAATTATTTGTTTTTGTACATCAATTGTTTGTGGAGGTAATATATGGACAAAACTGATTTATGAGAAGAAATCAGAAATAAGAGAGCCTGAGGGTAGGGGCTTAAACTATTTAATGAGGGCTGTGGGAAGAAAAGCGGCAATTTTTGTTTTCTGTTTCTTTGTTACATTGCTGGTAACTGGAGGGAGGCTGAGGCCTTGTACATGTTTAGTTTGTTTTGCACCCTGTTTTGAGTTTTTGAGCACAATAAATCACCAACACCGGTAACCCGACTGAGCCTGGATTCTTGGAGGCCAAAGAACCCCGTCACAGTGATCCAAATCATCACTGTTAGTTATTATATAGTAAATTTAATCATTACTGTTAAATTGTATGTATTGTCCAATTGTTTATTTGAATTCTTATTCCGGATTAG